GAGCCGGAGCAGTATTTCTTGGTGTCCAGCCTGCTGTGCTCGGGGATGTAGGGCGCCTTGGCGAAGCACATGGCGGCGGTGCGGTCGCAGTCGCAGATGAACATCTCGCAGTCGTTGTTACTGCCTGGAGGAGAGAGCAGGAGCAGTCAGACCCCGCAGCTCCTTCACCAGGCATGGCAGTGACTCAGGCAGGCGTTTCTGCTGCCAGGGCATAGCCGTTTCACTGCTGCCAGCATTTTGGGGTTGTACGTGCTTCTCCCCGCTAACCCTCTGGCTCTGTGCTCCGGCCCAGCAATCTCCTTGCTCCTTCCTTCTTTCCTTGCAGTTCTGTTTGCCAGCCTATCTGCTATTTATCTCTATTGCAGAGCCCTATAAAAGCTCCACCATTACCTTAGAGATGTCCGGTAGAAGCTGTGTAACTCTTCCCAGCTAGCATGCTGATCCCTTAAATACTGCCATTAAAGGGACTCCCAGAAAAGCACCACAGGGACTCAATCCCCCGAAGAGGAGACAGGCTTCCCTATGTACTGCGATACTGTATATCTTCTGTAAACTTGAAATTGTGTGCTATAGGGAGAATATTCACTCTGGTGTGGGTGTGAGGTGCCCCATTTCTAGCAGCCAGCCCCCCTGGCAGGGACTTGCACTGCGCCTTCCTGCCACAGAAGCATCGAGTGTAACGCAGCCCTGTTCCTTCAGAAGAGAGACTGGAGTAATATTTGACGTGGAAGCGGACATACTGCTACACGTAATCTGCCCATCGGAGCAGTTGAAGCTGTAAGAGTTTGTGTAGGGGTTGTCCACGAGGAATCTGCATGATTCTAGTTTCTTCGCTTTCGCATAGCAGCCATCATGTACTTGACAGCACCTGGGAAACAGGGAGGAAAAGGTCAGAAAATACCAGAAAGGCAAACTCAGCTGACCTGTAAGACATCTAAATACGCTAGTATTGCTTTGATAAGGCACTGAGCAACAAAAAAAGATACCCAGTGATAAGAGAGCAGACACAAAGGACCTCAAAGGGACACAGTTCTGCTAGCTAATGGTCCAAGAGCTGTCTGGTACACATGTACTTACTGGAGCATCTTCACAGATGTGTCCATTGGGCACAGGGAAAGCAAAAGACAGCATTTACCCTATGCTCCCTGCCAGTGCCCGGTAGCTGAAGAGCTAACAGCTGACACAATTCACTGCGTCTTGGCTATCAGTCTTGTGTGATCTCTGAACAGCCCAAGCCACTTCTTAGCATTTTGCAGCTCAGCCCTGCACATGTTGATGGTCATGCACTGGGCAGCGTGCTTAGAGCTGCATCTGGGCTGCTGGCACAGCACTGCTGAAAAAAAAAAATGCTGGAACAAGGGCAGTTTAGCTTCTACAGAAGAGAAAACAGAGTTATTTGGATTATATATTATCTTAGTAACAAGGTGTTAAGGTGTGATACTACACAACCTTTTTTCCTTGAATTAGGCTTTGAGAGAAAGCTTCATTCAAAGCAGCCAGAGAGTTTTGTGAACATTCACAGGCAGGGCCAGCTGAGATGAAGCTGGCATGCAGAACCGTGAAAGCACAGGCAAGGAAAGATGTTTGTAAAAGCAGAGTCTTATAAACCTGTCAAGCTCATCCACTGGTGTCCCGCTGCCTCCAAAGCCACAGTAGCAGCCGTAGTCAGCAAATTGCAGCAGAGGATGGCTGTCCGGGATGGTGCATTTGATCATGCTGCGAAGCCCCCACATGGCCCGGGGTGAGACAGCAGTGCTGGCTGTGCCCGCTGAGAAGAGGTGCAAAGGTTAGAGTTAGGCATGGTGTTACCACTCCGGGGGGTGCTGGGGGGGTGGGGGGTGAGTGCCACCTACACACCAGCCAGCAGGAAAAGCAGGGCCAGGGACTTCATCCTCGGAGGACTTGACAGAGAGAGCGGTACTAAAGAAAAAATGCAGCTTTTTATACGACAAGCTCACCTTGACATGGTTATAAGATAAACAAGCCAGTATCTATGTTACTAAATGCAGACTTCTTCCATGGGAGGCTGTGGGCTGCAGGGTGTGACATGACCAGCTGGAGGCCAGTAGAGTTAAATCTCTGAAAGTCAGGAAGGCAAATATTTGCTCTCTAGATTTTTGCTATTAAATTCTTTTAATGCTACTATTAAAAGCCAGCCTGAAAGCTCTGGACATTTTTAAGGGCTCTCTACTAAAAAATATAGCAGTGTGCTAGTTATGTTGGAAATTGCTGGCACACTAATATCTGTCCTACTAATACTGGCATCCTCTTTTTAAGGTATCCCTCTTATCATTAATCCTGTATCTCTCCATGGATTCTCCTGGCCTAATTCAGAGAATAAAGTACAGGTCGTCCACACACCCCAAATGACCATTTGGCATGAGCCTAACTGAAAAAAATTCAAGCTGTTTTTCACTTTGAAACCATAGAGGAGAAGGTACTACTAGGCAAGAAACAGGAGCCAAGTAAGCTGGAAAGCCTCTGTATCTGGCTTAAACAAGGCATAGTGTCTGGTTTTACATGATGCTAAGGGAGTTATACTGGAAATCATGGAATGCTTTGGGTTGGAAGGGACCTTAAAGATCATCTAGTTCCAACCCTCCTGGCGTGGGCTTGGAAGTTTCAACATACACAGTAGACTTCAGTAGCTCGGAGACAGCAGTTTCTCCTGCACCAAAGCAGAACCCAGTTAGGCCCTTTGGTTCTCTATGCCAAGGCACGAGGTGAGTTGGGAACCTTGAAATAAGATAAAGAAATGGGTAAGAAAAAGCTTCCTGGAGTCAGGTGGGGGTAAGCCCAAAATACTGCACTCATATTCAGACCCCAGAGGCTCTAACACTGTCAGGGCTACAGGTTTGGCATTTTTACACACTCAAGATACAGATCCTGGACTATTCACTTGACAGTCAGAGTCTGCGTTTACTTCTAAAGCACCAAGCAAGCCTTCAGTTTTTAAGAGCAGAGGAAGAGGGAAAGCCGATCTTTCTGCAACAGCCTAATATACCAGAGTGCTTATTCAGGAAGCTTAGGGTTCAGCACCCTTCAGTAGGTTCAAATGCATGTTTGTATAAGGGACGATGAAGACATCTTCCCCCTCATAGTGACTGAAACTATGCCAGGGTGCCCACAGTATCCATAGGATGTTGACATATCCATAGGACATCTAGTTAAAGGTAGACGCGCTGATGAACAACCAGAACCATTCCGACTTTTTTTATCTCTCAAAAGCTCTCATATTCTCTGGGATTCCCCGCTCACAGGTTAGCTAAAGCCAAACAGATGCTGAATTACAGATTCAAGATTCTTGTGTCCTAATAGTGAGAACACTGAACGAACATTAAAGGCTGATGTAAGGGACAGCCCATACCACAGTTAGTTCAGAAACAAGGATTTAATCTTTTGCCTGCAGATCAATCTGCTGACTTTCCCTTCAATATCCATTTAAGTGTCCTCATTCTCCTTTGCTATTTTGGCCACCTTTACACTTTTTAAAATTATTTCTCTGCTCTCTTACTTGTGAACATTAAGACTCTGTGTGTCCTTTTTCCTCACTTGTCAATTTCTGATTTATTATTGATGTTGTCAAGAAAACTTCCAATAAACTGGCTTTTTTAAGTCACAAATCAAACATAGTCATATCTTGGATTTCATAATTTTAATTCAAAAAGAGGATTACCAAGTGTGGGAAAGTGAGCACGTGAACATTACAAGAGTTCCTCATGAGAAAAATCCCAGCAGGGTGCAGATTTTTCCACCAATGCTATTTTTGGTTTCCCCCAACCTGTGTTGAATACAGAGCCGCTGGTCCTCAGTATGCTTGTGAGGACATCCCAACATACAACTCGTTCCTAAACTTTTAGGCTTGAGCCTTAATTATTTTTAAGAATACTTTATAATTAAGAGCTGCTGCACAGGGCTCTCCACCCTATTTTGCACTCTTATCATTTACGTTTCTCTTGTAGTGTTATCTGCTAAGGACTTTTCTTCCCTTCCAATCTCTACATTTTACTTTCTTAGATCTAGCCTCCTTGGTCCACCATAGTCATTGAATCCAGAGCATCTGAGTCAAGCTTCTAAGGACTACACTATCTCCTCCTTTCTTGAACCTACAGATATCTATACAAAACCTCTGTAACGCAGAGGAGACACAACCTCTATTAAAACCAGATCTGCCTCACATTATAAACTGGGCCACTGCCAAAGTCTGGGAGCAGAACACGGAGTCAGAGCCCTGCCTGCGGCTTTTATCCTAATGGCAGGATGTGACTCCTGCCAGGTCCAAGTTCACCTGCAATCTCCTCTATTTGAAAATCTCCCACCCCCAAATAAGGACAGAGGAGGACAGTTTTCAAATAATTTATTAGGAATTTAAAACTGAAATCTGGAAAAAGGGTTACAGGTGTGGAGAGAACAAACATTGGAGTGTAATAACTTACTGGCTTAAAAACACAGCTTTATTTCTTTTAAAAAAAATGCCCACCCTGAAACCGGAGCCCCAGCCTCCAGGCAGTGGCAGCACTGGCCAGAGAGTGAATCACAGCCCAGCAGCAGCACAGCTGGCGTTGGATGTCTGGAGGGGGCACGGAAGCAGTTCAGCGCATATACCAAGAGGGAGGAAAGCGCTGTCCGCAGACCCAAATTTGAAGTATATAGAATAAAAATAAACCCAATAAAATGCAGCTCTTCTTTAATTAGGAAATATTTAAAAAAACAGACATACAGACTCTTGTCTCAGTAACAAAAATTATTGCTTTGTGTTTTCAGTACTAATCTGTTAAGTACCCTCTTACCTAAACAGAACTCTCCAAACGCATCGCCCAGGTCAGGACAAGCTCTGGCAGACAGGGGAGGGATGGAAGAGAAGAAGGGCCCTGTGGGCACTGTGGCCCTCTCAGTCCTTTCCTAAATGCCCCTCTCCTTTACAGGGGCTCAGTTTGGGGGAAGAGAGGGAATGATTTTTAAAACTTAAGATGAAGCTGTTATTTCCCTGGGAAAAGAGTTTGGCTGCATCTTAATAAAAGGCTTAATCACCCCCCTTAACAAGGTCTTTGGTTCACTGAAATCCAGACCCAAACCTGCCCCGTGTACTCCTGCTGGTGGCTTCCCCTGGCAGAGCGCTTGTTAGCGGGGGCCTGGACCACACCAGGGGAAGCCCCGGCAGGTTCTGGAGAAGGGACCAGATCACCCCTGCACAGGACAACGGACAAATTCCCACAGTCTTCAGAACACAGAGTAAAGCAAACGGGAAGCTGCAATTCTATAATTCATATAATCCCTGAGAAGCCCTTAACCCGCCCCCAAATCACCACCCTAATGCTTTTCTCCCCAGTTAATGACTCCCCAACCCAGTGCCCTGCCCTTCAGAGAACGATCACCCAAATCTCCCCCTGGCCCTGGCTGACACCCCTTCCGATACCCTCGCCTCCGGAGGAGGATCCCCCTTCCCAGGAAATCTTGACACAAGCGATAGTGTTTGGAGAGTGAATTCCTTTCAAAGTAACCAAGACAAGCAATGGCGGTAAAGCCCTTTACCTAAAGCCAAACCAGAGGCTGGCACTACGGAGCCCAGTGACGGAGTCTGTACATCGAGCGATTGGAAGCAGCTTTAACCCGCTCAGCAAAACAGCCGATGGCTGGTACGTTTCACCCCGAACCCCACCCCCCCTTTCATCTCATCAGAGGTCTTAAAATCTTACAGTAAAAGGTGTACAAAAAAAGAACGGAGTCCTGTCAGGATTCTGCTGGAGAGTATTGCTCACGCTGCGGCACCAAGTCCAGGACCTGGAGCTGCTCCTTGGAGCCAGGCTGCAGGCGGCAGCCAGGTTCAGCTCACGATATTTACATATTATACAGGAGGAAAAAGAAAACCCCACGTAAAACTAAACCTAGGAAAAAAAAAAATTCTTTCAGCTGTAAGGATAGTGTTTTTCACTTAGCAAAATATACATTTGTTTTGTTCCATAGCGATGTCCAACGTTTTCGGATCCTTGGAGTTTCACGCTTTTCAAAGCCTCACATTTACAAAACAGAAACAATTAAAAACAGTTTCTTTAAAAAAAATAGAAATACATCAGTTCCTCTCAGCCTTTGCTCTCTCTGTGTCTCTTTCTTCCCTTCAGAACTGCATTCTTGTTACATACCGTGCTTTAAAAACACTGACGACAACAACAGAGTTGAAAATATTCAAAACAGTTTCAAAGCCAAATAAAAATACTCCTCAATAAAAACTACCTAACACAATCACAAAGCCAATTCATAAAATATGTCTACTAGCTCGGGAAAGAGCAAACAACAAAAAGAAGGGGTAGCCCCAAAAAAAGATAAAAAAATAAAATAAAAAAATAAAACTAACAGCTAATAAAATAAATAAAAGAAGAATCGGTGGGCTGGGGGCAGGGAGGGGGGAAGCGTAAACCGTCGGTGGTTAGTAAGAAAGCGAGATGATCTCCTCGGGTTCAGTCCAGTGTGGTCTGGTCAAAGGGAGAGATCAGGGCAGGGCGGCAGGAGCCTGGCAGCCAGCCGGCAGTGTGCAGTTTGATTCAAGAAAAAGGTAACCTTGGCTCATCCCCCGAGGCTCACCAGATCCTCCAGCCGCTGTCCTCGGTTAGGTCACTGGGGAATCTGTGGGACACAGCAGGGGAGGGAAGGCACAGGATCTAGAACAACCAACAGCTTCTCTCTTGGGGTTTTCTTCCAGTGTGATCCGACAGACATACTCGATACCCAAACTTGCCCCAACACAGACTTGCTCTGCATCTCGCTGGCGCAGTGACGGGGCACGGCAGAGATGCTTCTGTCTTTAATGGCAACGTGTGAGCCTGGGAAACAAGGCCGCACACGCCACGCAGCCTGCCTGCCCGGACCTGTGGCGCTCCTGGCCCCCGGGAGCCTGTGACGTGGCGGGGTCCAGCTGTTTCTCCAGCACTCAGCTCAGTGCAGCCCTGCCAGGCTACCATGGGCTCCTGTCTGGACACCCTTCCCTGCAAGCTTTTACCCTCCTTTTTGAAAAGCTGGGGGTTTTTTAATTTTAATTTTAAGCCAGCTAACTTCAGCCACGTTTGCCAAGCAAGCAGAGACCATCCACCAGTTCCCTCTCAGGCCCATCCAAGGACCAGAAACAGAACTGATCAGACTCAGATTTTCCTTCTGCCCTTCTCCCAGGCAGGAGAGAAGAAACCTTTGCTCCCCAGACAGTGGTCTCAGCAGCAGTGAGAACAACCAGCTGCATGGAGGAGGCTTCCCCAGCCACACAGGTGAGCCAAGCTTGTCTCTTAGGATCACAACTGTGTTGTGATTTTGGCCAACCCTGCAGACCTTTTGCCTTTTTCTCAGTGCTCCTATTTCCTTCCCCTTTGCACCCAGACACTAAGCGATCTCTCCACAGCACTCCCAGCCTGGGGAGCGTAAGGTAGAAACCCAACCTGCCAAGACTCTGGTGCAGAAGAGTGCCCCAGGCTGGCTGCAGGACTCCTCCCGCAGGCCAGGTCAGGCTGGCGAGCCTCACAGCGGCATCCACAGCTCCTGCCGAGAGCCCAAGCACAGGGGCCAGCTCAGAACTTCACTCCTCTCATTACCCGTTCCTCTTCAAAGCTCTCTTACCTCCTGCCTCCTTGGTCCCCAGCTTCAGTGATACCCATTGGTAAAAGCTGTTGCAATCAAGGGACCCTGCGAAGAAAGAGTTAAAACCCCACTCTTAAGCAAACAAAAGAAAAGTGAAGGAGAATTACTATCGCAACAAATTCAGTCATAGCCCAGATGCTGGGAAAGCTGGTTTCAGTTGGAGGTGCCAGGTCTAAAGAGCACATCACCCTGCAGAACACTGCATCAGGGCCAAGATGGGCTCTTGGAAAGCCTGGACCAGATCAGGGAAAGGTCTGGAGATCAGGACCTTGTGTGGTGGCCAGGGACAGAGAGCCAGTGGAGCCCAGGGATGTGGGCTCCAAGTGAACTGCTGCATCCTGCACCATCCGCCTGCGGTCAGCGGTGGTGTGGCAGATGCTGCAGTGGGTGGTATTTCTTAACCAGAAAGCAGGCCGTGGGCTGAGAGGGGGCCGCCCACCGCTGCTCACCTCCATCACCACATGGAGATGCAGCCCCTTCCCCTGGCCATGCCACTCTCCATCTTCCTCCCCCTCCACAGAGCCCGACAGGGAACACTCACCCCTAGGCTGTGGCCGAAGCCGGTGCTCGGGGCTGCGCTGATGTAACTGCTGACCCCTGAGTCCTGGTTGGCGGCTCCATAAAGCTCTGCCATCGGCCCAGGGCTGGTGGTGCCCAGAAATCCACCGGTGCGACTGGGGGTGGAACCTATGGGAGGCAGCAAAACTATAGAGTGAAGATCCCAAAAATACAACCCTGTCCCACCCCCCTCCCGCAACCCATGGCAAACCTCCACGACAGGACACCGTGCTGGGGAGGAAAGTGGCAGTTACCTGTCCCTCGCACCACAGCTGCCGCAGCCGCTGCTGCTGCCATTGGTCCATACGCAGTGAGGGGGATTGCTAGAAAAGAAGGAACAGGCATCTCAGGGGCACTGTGGCACACGGGAAGCTCCTCAACAGGAGCCTTCATTTCCTGCTGCAAAATACCAGGCCCACACAGATGTATTGGTTTAGTGCATCCCACAGGACACCCAAGGATGACAACAGGGGAGTGCACAGCCCTGCATTTATTGGTATCCTTTTGCACAGTGAATGTCTGGGGGAACTCACTAGCCATGCTCTGCTAAGCCTACACCCTGGAGCAGCTGAGGGCACGACATGGAAGAGCTGAACCAGAAGTGGGCAATTTCAGGTGTATCCTGTCGCTACTTAACTTGCAAGATGTAGTTAATCTGAAGCTACAGATCCAGATTTTGACTGTGAACGTGGAGAAAATGCAGCAGCTGGCAGCTTAGCATCCTGAGGCTCAGCCCCTCCTCTCTGTCCCTTGGAACTATTCTTGACCAGTTTAATAGCCTCTTTCTCCCTATTTCTCTACTCTTCTCAAGAAGCACCACCCCCCCCACACTCTGAGTTTTGCTCCTGAACTGCTCAACCCCTTGCCGTTCACTGTAGAACAGCAGGAAACCTATACCTAGGGAGCAGGAACTAGAAATGGCTTAATTAAAACAGTAAGTCTTAATTTATATGTAGCAGTTCTAATTCCCAACTCTACTGCCACAGGCATCCAGCCCTCAGGGCAGGAGGCATCTAGCCAGTATGTTTCTCTTTGCCCTTAAAATGACTGGGTCAGCATTTCATGCTTGAATGTGAAATTCACTATGATTCTGTTTAGAGCACCATAAAAAGAGGTCAGAACAAATCAATCGCGTTAAGGCTGAAACCCAGACTAGCTTATAAGGGAATATTTAGTAGCAGGCACCAGCCTGCTTCAAGCAAACGTCATATGAGGCTTGTATCTGGGTTAGCCGCTCATTATAGGCCCTGGGCCAACGTGACCAATTGCTGCTTCGCATCACCCCCGGAGATGCTGTTCTGGGGAGGAGGAAAGGTTGCTGGCAGCCACCCTCCTGCCCCATCATTGCTTCAAGTCCCTAACACACAGCTGAATGAATGTGGTTTTACTGAGAAAGGAGGCCAAGTCTTCTCAAAAAGACTCCAGTTCTTTTTCCAGGAAAAACCCTTCTTGCCTTTGCAGTCTATCTACTGAGACACCAGGTTTGTGTTGTGATGACAAAGCACCTGCATGCTCGCCCCCTGCATGCTGGAGCAATCATCCCTGCTTGTGCCATCCCCTCATCTCAGTTCCACTTGCCAAGCCCATAAAGCACAGCCCATTTACACGCACACATCCACTTGAAGGCACAAGGGCCCTCGAGCACCGCACAGCTCGCTGGGCCTTTGTAGGAACGAAGGGGGCCCTGCCCTTCGTGGGACCGACTCCAGCCTATACATGGGAATCGCAGCTCTTGGCCTAGCCAAGAGGCTGCATAGCGACTGTTTAACAGTAGGTAAGCGTAACGGGAAGGGAAGAATGCCATGATCCCCAGCTGGTACTTGAGCGAGACACTCAGGACTGTAAGCTAACATGGCACCCAGCCAGGACAGCAGCATTAATAACTTCTTGTTGTACAGAGCCCTGGTGCACCCCAGCCGCCGGTGACAGCCAGGCCCCGGGCGATTCACCTCCGCTAGAAAAAGACACAGTGCAGCCAGGGGTAGACCTTGGAGGGAAAAGCACTTTTGCCAAGTCACCAACATTCCTCTACAAATGTTGTGGGTTTTGCTGAAACACACACATGTAAATACACAGTGGACCCACATTTCCTTTGCTTGGCAACCAACAGGCTCAGAGATGGGGATCAGGTGCTTATGCAGTTCCATACATGGTGTCCAGGAAGGGTTTTATTAAGAGGGAGCTAGGATTTAGTCTCCCCTTCCTCCCTTGGGGCAATTTGTTCATTGGTGGCTGCCAACCTCTGCATCCTCAGGAACGGAGACTCCCTGAGGACTGACATGGTTCTGTGCCACAGAACCCCTTTTCAAGCCTGTTTGTACTGATAATTCCAGGAGAGCTTCTCAGGAAGCTTTTCCACACCCTCATTGCAGAGAGATTCAAACCCTGAAACAGGTGGGGGTAAGGAAGCACTGGAGAGGAGGAACACCACGGAGATGAGATGGCACATAGGGAGCAGGGTGCTACACAAAGCTGCTTTTCTACAACAAAAACCATGGACAGGACAGAGCTGGGGAAAACATGGCCATGGAAGGGAAAGTCGACAGAAGGAGCATCACCTAGAGAGAACACACTGCACACAAGCCAGGGGCTGAAGATCCAGAGGGCATTTGCACTGTGAGGACACTGAGCCAGGACTAGTCCCTGGAGAATGGTCCTCTGCCCCCGTTTCATTCCACAGTTCCCTACAAGCACTGCAGGACTTTACTGTAGAGTCCCACCACGCTCACTTCTGTCCGGGAAGCCCATGTAGGAGTAGCTGGAAAGCTGCACCACCCATGAGGAGCATTCCCCGCAGCCCCTCCTGCGCAGGGAAATGGGATTGGAGTAACCAGGAGTGCCCCCACACCCTCTCCCTCCTCCCAACACTCCAAATCTCGTCCTTGCAGCAGCTCAGGTTAAGGTCATTTGTAGACCTTTGAGAAGTCACCCTGCTCTCTGCAGTTTTCCATATCCGCTCTACACCCAGCCTGGGGCGAGGAGCGAGGAGCTAAAACCGAGGCAAGCAGCAGGAAAGGCCATCTAAGGATTACACACCCTTCATTTGGTATGACCTGCATTAGCCCTTCTCAGAGGCAATACACATGGCTCTGATTGCCCCTCCATCTTTCCAGCCCCAGCTTTGGATGGAGCTTGTACAGATGGAAGAGGAAATTAGGAATGTTTCCAGTCTAACTGCACCAGGCTGTAGAGCAGCGACACCACTGGAACAGCCCAAAGTCCCCTTCTCCCCTTCCAGCTTGTGAGTTTAGGAAACGAGCGGGACTGACCTGTGAGCTCAGGGAGGACGGGGGCACTCGGGAGAGGGGTCCGCTCTACACGGAACTCTAAAAACGAAATGCAAGACAGCTTAGGAACTCGTCAAATGCCCCAAGGGAGACCCCGCAGAGAGACAGCAGCCAGGGTCCGCTGAGGGAGCAGCCTGCAGCCAGAGTGAGACCAGGCCAGTGCCTTCTTTAATTTATAACTGGTGCTGAAAGATGCTGGACTCCTGCCCTGGAGACTGAAAGGATCCATTTATATTTAGAATAAATCTGGCCAAGGCAGGGCAAGCGCAAGCTTCACTGTGCAGCCTCAGGTCTGCCCTGGAGCACCACTCTGCCACCCATCCAATCCGACTTCTTGGCTGCCATGCCAGTGGGTGCTCAGTACGTGCCACTCATCTGGGCATCGGTTTACAACAAGGCACTTGAAGCCACTACAACTGAGACCCATAAAATGGATTCACCGAGAGCTTCCAGTCAGCTAGGAGGCAACAGCAACTTTCAGCCACAGTCAGCCTGGGCTCGCCTCAGGCGAAGAGGAAATTTCCCATTCCCAGCCCCTAACACCAAGACTTCATATATAAACCATCACACTTAGGGATGGAGTAAGGAAGGGATGCTCAGAGTTGCCACTTCTCTAGAAAATAGCAAGACAGTCTTTTCCCCAGGCGTGCTCTCCCTTGTTCCCTTGCCTCACAGAGAGTGGGAGGGACAAGAGGCCCCAGAAAGCTCTGAGCAGCTGCAGCACAGCAGGTTCCATTGATTGCAGAGTCCATGTTCTGAGCACATGGCAGGGTTGGGAGCTTGAAACCACCCAGTTTTGGAGAATCTGCAGCCCACCACCGCAGCAGATGTTTTCTGAAGGCTGTGAGTGGTCCAGGCGCTGCTCAGAACACAACTGTAGCATTGCAGGCGCCTGCGTTTCAGGTGCCTAGGAGTTCCCTGGCCCATGGAAAGCCACGTTTTAAAATTCTGTGCTACTTTCAGAGCGGTGGCAACTCTGGTAAAGAGAGACACACATACACAAAGGCAGCAAGACAGGCAGAGCTGCAGGGGCCCTTCTGTGTCACAGCAGCAGCCCTACAGAGGAGGCTAACATAAAGGGCAGCAGAGCAGCCTTGGGCTTTTCCTGCCACTGGAGTGTGAGGATAATCCTAATGAAGGACAGGCTGTTCCCACCTATTCCAGGGCTTCTCCCCTCCCCCTTCCACATCCGTCTCCAATTTAAAGAAAGACCAAACAGGGGAAAGGGTGAAAGGGGCAGAACCTGGGTCACAGATCATGCCAGGGAGTCCCGTCACCTGAAGGCAGACCAAAAAAACAAGCAGGGAGCACCACTCACCAGGGAACTGGTAAGTGTAGCCAGGTGCAATGCCAGTGTAACTTCGACTCGCATAGGTGGCAGCTTGGAAACCTGGATAACCTGGGGGAAGAGAAAAGGGCTTGTGTTACTGCGAGCTCGCAGGGTCCATGTTGTCAGTGCCTGGCTGCTCATGAGCAGCATGACTGTTAGTGTTAGAAAGCACCAATAGGGCTAATAGCAGAAACCCCAGGGAATTGCTGGGCAGAGTCTGCACACATGCAAGTCTGCAGAAGAGTTCTAGCAGGCTCGTTTAATTTTTCCCTCACTCCAAACATGTAAGGACACGGAGATTTCCTTCTCAGGAACTCACAGCTCTGCAGACTAAGGCTTTCTGATGCATCAGCTGGATTTACAAATAGGAGGAGATCAGGGAGGTGGGGACATTTGAATGGCTGAATAGCTCTGAGTCACACTTGCACTAGAAGTGCTGGCGAATGCAGGCAGAGCACTTCTTGGCACCAGGCAGGAGGACAATTCCTGCCATTTCCCAGGAAGCTGACCACCTATACAGAACAAGCCTGGGAGAATGCAGGGCACTGAGAGATGAATATTTGATTTGAGATCTCCCAAGACATGAGTATGTGGATTTCCCAATGACTCAGCTTAAGCCTTGCTGCTTTAAATTCAGACGGCTTAGAAAAGGCAAAACCCAAAACCACAGGCTGGAGATTTATTTTCCTTCAATAAATCAAGTGAAAACATTAGGGGAAAAATGCCCTTTTTGGGGTTTTGTTCAGTGACTAACTGCTACTTGGCAGGCTTAGCAAGGAGAGCCAGGTTGAGTACACCCTGCCCAGCAACACCAGCGATGGTCCTGAGCAAACAGTGCGCTCTTGGTTCAGCTTAAGCCTGGCTAGAATGAATAGAGGGAGGGAGCGAAGCCAGGAACAGCACCCGTGCTGGAAGGATCATGCTTGACTCTCACATCCAGGCACAGAGGTTTATAAACCTGGAAGTGGGGGATACAAAGGGACTTTTTTCTTTTTTTAATCTTTTATCTGAACACATTTGCCTTAGAGTCATTGATAAGCATGAAACCTAGCCTGCTTGTCACCAGTTTCTCCTTACGAGACAGTCCCATGATAAGCGTATGGTCTTCCTTGCAATACCAAATAGAGGGAGGGAACTAAGTGAGACAAAGCTTAACTAGAACTTTAAGGGCATTTTTATAGTCTTTAAATGGCAGTGAGGACATTTATATGGACCACTGTTTCAAGGGGAAGCTCGGGGGCTCTTTAATCAACTAATTCATCAGAAACCCTGTAGAAGCGTGGGAGGAAGATGCCTGGGCACAGATTACTCCACGCTCGCTTCAGCTATGTAGTTACAACCTATTCCGTAAGAGCCATTAAAGAATTACAGTCTATATGCCACGGCACTGCAGGACGGTTAACGGAGGCTGCAGAGGGCCGGAGCTGCCCAGCACATGGCTGCACCTGGCCAGCTCGGCTGTCGCAGGGCAGCAGTGACAAGTTTGCAGTTTTTCCAGGTGCCACCAGAGGGCAAGTTGTGATCGCAAACAGGTCCCGGCGCCCCCGGAGCGTCCCCGGCCTTGCACCAGGGAGAGCTGCCCTTGGCCGCTCTGCCTGCTCTCGCTCTTGGAATAAAACCTCTAAGCTGCTGCCTGGCACGACCGGGAACTGCGGAGGAGATCTGTCCTTGGGCTTACCCAGCATGCCGATCCCGAGCATGAAGGCATCCATCCCGTAAGGCATGACTCGGGACCGCCCTCGTGCCGAGCCCGTTGGGGACATCACCTCCTTCGGCTGGGCTTTTTTACACTCCACCTGCCACAAGAAATTAAGGATCAGGCTCAGCTGCCACCAGCACAGAGCGCTGCCACAGAGCACAGGCAGCAGCCGGGCTGCAGGCCAGGCAGGGCTGCCTGCTGCGACGGCACTCCCCAGCCCTGGCCACCACCAGCAGCCCATCCCGCTGTCCTTCCCTAGTGTCCCTGCCTCTGGCCTGCACGCTGCCAGCCTTCCCTCTCACTCCGCAGCCACCCCAGGCAATGGGGAGCTCAAACACAGCTTTTCGCCTCCTGCTGCTGCCCTTGACGCTCTCTGCCTGGCCCTGCACTGGGACCTCAAAGCCTAATTTTCCTCATTTCCGAATAAAGGTAATACCTGCCCCCTTCCCAGGCCACCAAGAAGACATTTCATGTAACTTTGAAACCTCAAAGTACTGCACAATTCCTCATTACCGTTAGCTCTTCCCGTTTTAAGCTCAGTATTGTGCTCGTTCATCTCCACACCGCAAATTTCTTTCTCAGACTGGCTGCTGTGATTTTGGGGAAAAGACTGAATCCAATTCCCCACTGCAGAGAAAGCGCGTTGGGACCCAAGCGCCTCACACCCTGCCCCTGTGCCATTGCCCTGTTCTCCATCCCATGTCTCTGTCCCTTCTACCCCAGGTTCTGCCCCAGACACTCACCATTTTGTTGTTGATCTCATGGAAGTGGATTTCACACACTTTTTCCACAATGTCTTCACTTTCAAATGTGACAAACCCAAAACCTGACGAAAAGGGAAAACTCCTTGATCAGGTCAGAGCTCGGCGCAGTTTGTACCCGCTACCCACATCCTTTTATTGGCAGGAGAAGAGAAGGAGCCACAGGCTTCTAGGGCAGTATAAGCGGCCCTTTCTAAAACGGCTGTCACTCATCTTCCCTCTCCATCAAATCCTACTTTTATGCACAAGAAGAACAGGAGCATCCCCTTATAGATTCCCCTGTCCTCCTCATACTGTACTTCCCACCCTCTCTGAACCCAACCGCTCTCAAAAGGAAGTATATTTTTTTTTAAACTTTTCTATTTGCAAGGCAAACCACATGGCTGATATAATGCTGGGGAGGATCCCAGCAGACAGACGCTCACACAAAGAAAGCTGGTGGAGAACTGAACAGCTGCTTGCCAGGACATCACCATCCTCGCTAAACGCACCCCACCAGCAATAACACCCTGCACGTTTCCTCTTCAGTCACCAGTCATAAAGCCTTGTATAAGCTGGCAAACATCAGCAATGCAGTTGTAAAGAGCACGACAGATACACACAAGCAAAGCTATTTGCGAAGTTTCACCAAAGTAAGGTTAGTATCTGGGGTAAAACAGGACAGGATGTTCCTGGCCCCTGGCCCATACTCACACCTCCTTTCTCTCACCAACCCCTTTGCTGACAGTTTTGGCAAAGACCAGCTCGGGTGGGCAGACTAAACTCCTCTCAGCTGACTGCAGCCATTTCCGGAAAACTGAGGCAGGTGGGAGGATGTCTTTAAGCTTGCCTTACAAGTAAGCTGGGATTAAGCAGAGCTTTCTGCTTTCCAGAACTGGCCAATTCCATGGTGCTTTAAAATAACGTTTAAAAACAGACAAGGATCTGCTGCCCAGAACCCCACTTTTTCTCCATACTGCCAGAAAAGTCTCTCCATAAACTTCTCTGTCTGTCTGTACCCAGGAAGTTTCACCCCATTCACCTCAACACCCACAAGCGAAGGAGCTCAGGAGTTCAAGTCCAAAACCCTGATGCCAAAACCAGTCCTGAGCCCTATCAGACCCCCACCAGGCCTGCTGAGCCCTGGACAGCCCCATGCTGCTGACACAGCAGCTAGCAGCTCTCCCTGCTCCTTCCGAAATGCCCAACAACTCTTTAATTGGACTAGTGAGTAGGAGGCACCCATGGAGGAACAGGGGTTAACGCTGCTTCCCTTTTAAGATGAAGCTGGAACAGCATCCTAGGCCAGGCAATCAGAGTAGATTTAATGGCTTTAGAAAAAAGCAAAAGCCTGAAGGGCACACAGTGTAGCAAGAGCAGAAGGGAGCCTTCCCTCTCTGATCCAGGGGCAGAGGTGCTTGGAAGTGCTTCAAACAACACACAGACACGAGAGTGGCCCAGCACAGGGCTGTTAACTGGCCCTGATTTGGAAGACACCAAAGCTAAGTTTGCAGGTTATGTTGTTCCAAATAAATCTCTGAGCTGGTGCAATGCTTGCTAGCATCAAGCCCTGCCACACTCCAGGGCAATCGGTCTGAAGACTCACCAGGAGAGCAGGAGGCAGGGACGCCCATGGGTGGGCTGGGTCCAGATAGCACAAATATTACAGCCTTGCTCCCATCCTGTAACCAGACTCCGCCATCAAGACTCGGGTAAGAAAAGGTGACCTGGGAGCACAAGCAGGCTCCAAGCCGAGGAAGGGGCGAGAGGCAGGCACTTTTCAGGCTCTCGTGTCAGCTTTCCCAGAGCTCAGATTACTCGGGACAAGGTAAGACACACACTGCGGACTGGAGCCATGGAGGTAAGTGGGCAGGGGAGGGGGCCGCCTCCTCTCACATATCTGCAACTCGGCGAGTTTACAGCACAGGAAACGCACTGGACAAAAGCTCTCTGTGCTGCAAGGGACACTGGTAAAGGATGCAGATGCAAAAGGATGGGGTGACTGGAGGCAAGATAAAGAGCAGCTGCGACCCGCATGCCCTGCTGCTGGGATACTAACCCCTCCCTAGGCAAGGCAGGAGGCAAACCCTCCGCAGTTCCCTCTCCTATGGCCAGAAGACCGCTCTCACCTCGGTGTCGGTTGGTTGTCTTGTCGAACATCAGCATCGCGTCATCCACCTGCAAAGAGAAGAGCTCCGGATCAGGTTATTGCCGTTGTCACAAGCATCCTCCAACACATTTGCGCAGAGCTTCCTGGGCCTCCCCAAACCAGAAGGGATCAAGATGAGACTTCCCATCCCCAAGAAGGAAACAGGGTGTGCACGCACACACACACACACGTCAGCTACCAGGCCAGGCACGTCCCCAAGCCACAGCCAGCATGGTCCCCCCACCAGCCCAGGGCAGGTGCTGCCGGGCTGAGCCCCCTCAGCCCGGCCCCTGGCAGCAAGTGACCCCGATTGTTTGCCGGCGGCTCCAGCCGGGGGGCAAGGAGCAGGGAAGGCATTGTTCCCAAATCCCAGCCTCAAAGGAGAGGAGAATTAAAGCGGGGGGGAGAGAAGCAAAGCTGGAGAGGGTAGAGGAATAAGGGGCCTCCCAGCGACAGGGGAAGCGGAGGCCTCAGACAACAGAGCCTGCCGGGGAAAGCTGGGAAGCACCCCCGCCCCCACCCCAGAGGAGCCTTTCCTCTAAGTGAGGTTTCCCACTGCTGGAGGCTGTAATTAGAGCAAATTTACTGCAAGGCCTGAGCAGGGCTGCCTTCCCGGGGGGAGGGGCGGCCGGCTCCCATCCCCCAGCCGGCCTGGGGCTGCTCTCCTCCCCGGCGAGCACATCACTGCCTGGTGCCACTTTTCCCCCATCTTCCCGCTGGGTGTTGCCTTGCGGAGACACATCTGCACCGCTCTGCAGGTCAGGCCGGGCAGGGTTAAAAAATACACTTCAATCCCCTCCCGTGTAAGCCCCAGTGTAAACCTGTCCCACTGACCCATCCCTCCTCTCTAATACCACTGCCTTAATCCGATTATGAAACTGGACATGCAAGTGCTCAGGGGAGGCGTCAGCAGTCTCCGGCCAGCAGCTGCCCCAGCCCTCCTCCTCCTCATCCTCCTCCTCCATGCGAGACATGCTCCCCGAGCAGCCCCTGACTCCGTGGAAGGATTACTCCCTTGCCTTGTCCCCAGGAAGCATCTGCATTGCTACCTTCTCCGGAACAGCCTGCCAGTGAGGGCAGGGCGCTGCCCATACCCCGGTGCAGGCAGCTACTGGCTTCACTCATGGAGAGCCCGTAGCCCTGGTCAGGGAAGGGAGAGGGCTCCTAGCCTCGGCCCCCCCAGGACAAAACAGGACACCCGGCTCCACCTCAGTGCCGCGACGATGGAAGGAGCCCTTGCTAACGTTTCCAGTGCCACCACGAGCAGAGAGATGATCTTTGATGCCCTTGGGCTTCTCCCACACGTCCACCCTGCAAGAGCCAGGTGACAACAGATAACCTGGCTCCCGCTCATCCTGCGCTCTTCCCATCTCAGCTCAGCCTCCCTCAGCCAAGTCAACAAACACCTGAGAAATGTGCCAGGCATCCAGCCGGAGCCACAAAGGATGCAAGACTTCACACAGACCTGAAGCAACTCCTCAGTAGCTTCCCAAGACACAGCCAGCTCATCACGCTGCCATTCCTCATCGCTGTTCGCTCCTGCCCCCTGCACCATTTCCCTTCACAGTGCCAGCACAAATGTGAATGTGCTGGGGGGAAACCTGACGTGGCTTAAAAACATTTCAATTAGTTTTACTGTCTGGTTTTGTTCATTTTTTAAGCTAGATCTGTTCCTCCACCCAGTTCTCAGAAAGGCTGGGCACATAGCTGTCCTCCTCCCCAGTAAACACTGGGAGAAAGTCATGTCAACAGCACTCTGCAGTGGTGCCGCCCCTGAAGACTTCAACCCAGGTAGCTAAAGCCCACAAACCCATCGCGATGAGAGATGGGCATGAGAAAGAAAAACCCAGTGGGGACAAGCACAGCCCAGCTGCTGACTTACTCTTTCCAACCAGCCCCAGCAACAACCTCTTCTTTGCAGAGCCTGGACAGCGGTAGCAGCTGCAAGTGGCAGAGCCCAGCACACGTCCACACACAAAACCACCTCACAGCAACAGTCCAGCTGCTCCCACGGTGCTCGAGCACTCAGAGCTGGGAGACATGCAACCGCTTCATCCCAAACCGCACTCCGTATGCTGAGAGGAGAGCTGCAGCCTTCCTCCGTCTGAGCTTTTTTTCTAAGTTTCTGCTGGAGCTTTGAGATCAGGTGTCTACCCAGCACCCCAAAATGTACTCATCTTGCAAAAACATGTTTACAATAACACATGTACTCTATTCGAAAGCTGTTTCCTACCATGAACTAAATCTAAGATAGATAGGTATCTATGTGTATATACACGTAGTAGGTGAAATAGTCTCACCCTCCTCAACTCTAGGGCCCCAACTCTATGTATAGCTACAACTGGTGTTTTTTATTGCCAACAAAACCTATACATGAGCATCATCTCGCCTCCTTCCAAGGCAACAGGTGAGATGAGTTGAGTGGTCTCAGACAGCCCACAGCCAGTGACATGAGATAAAGCAGGGCCCTGCAACCTGGCGGGATTGCAGAGGTAGTGCTGGAGCCTACAAAGGCCAGTGGGACAGGCTGCAGACTGGAGCACGCTGCAGAGCTGGGAGAAAGGCCTCACCTGCGTCCACAGGGAGCGGCTGTTTCCAGCACCATGCCCAGCGGGTCCGGCCTCACCCCAGATCCCTCCTAGCTCTTGCCATTACCTCCCCTGGTCTGGAGCTAGTCAAGGAGATGGGGACCGGCTGCCTCAGCTTGCCGGGATCCCCAAGGCCCAGCACTACCCAAACACCCGGGCAAAGCCTTGCACAAAGCGCTGACCGCTGCGGGGATGGAGGTACCATGGCCGGCTCCCACCAAAGGCCAAACCG